TCTAAACCACTCCGTTCCAGCGCAGATAACTCCTTAGAGGAAGGGTTCATGACCCATTTATCTTTCAGAGATGAGCCTGAATTAACAGGAGACCTCTTACTGAGCAAATGACAAAATATTCTGTCGTGTTTCTCTCTCTCTGTTTGGTAAACGTCTACAGTTCTTTCGAACTGCATAACTCCTCGACCCAGGAAGTTTCGGAGTTGTTAATCAAAGCAGAGAGTTCACTGAGTGAACGAGAGAATAACGCACGCAAACACAGTATGGAACTGTGACATTCATCTATTCGTAGCTTGAGAAAAGAAAAACCAGTACGGACCATGAGCTTGTATCCTTTAGCACTCCGTAAAGGAGGCCGAAATCTCAAACTCGATGGAAGCAAATAGTTTTCTTTGATTGAAATAAAAATGACAGCGATACTTAGCAATGCGGAATCTGATATTCGCGAGCCGGTTGACCCTTGTAACAACAGTTTGACTATACTTTTCTTGCAAATAAAATATATTAACGTTGCCTTGTGAACTTTAATATATTGAATTTCGGCAAGTTTATAATCTCTTGATATAGGCCAGATGTAGAAATGCCTTCTTTACGTTTACTTCTTCAATTTGGGGAATTCGATTTGTTAACTTGCGAGATTCACCGCAGAATTCTTTGGGTAGATAATGGAGCTGCGTAAATGTGCGCTTTTCAGCCCACGAATTCTTCGACCGATGTATCATCAAAGAGGATTTTTTTTCTTTTTTTTTTTTCAGATGACAGGTGGCCAAAACATCTGAAAACATCTGATTTGTTTCAGGTAATATTTTTTTTATCTACTCGCTATCTTTATACTCAACAAAAACGGAGGAAACGCAGACATCCCAGATAATTCGCCCCCGAATCCTTACTTTGAAAAAAAAAATTTTGAGTTTTTTAAAAGCAAATGAAAGAGTCACCTTCCATCTACATCTCTCTAAAAATTGGTTTTACATTCGGGTTCGTAGAACCAGTGACCGAAAAAAAAATATTTTAAGAATTTTCCAGCTTCATTGAATCTTTTAAAAACTGTAAGTTTTGCACTTCTTTAAATGGTAGCTATGAAAGTAATATTTGCATAACACTTGTAAATAAGGTTGTAATTTCGTACAAAATGTTGGCATTGTAGTCCATGCACGTTATGTTAGTGTTGTGGAATATTTGATAAATGATTCCATTGGAAAATAAAGAAAAGATAAAATAAAACAAAAAATAATATCAATGAATTGAAAAAAAGGTCACACGAGGGACTCGAAGGATTAAAACAAAACCTCCCTCGTAGAGTAGGAGGTCAGGTGTCACATTACCTAATTGTGATCCTTCATTTAACTCGCACAAAAGCCCTGCGTTTTCACACTCCTTCATGACAAATTTGATCATATCTGCGAGATTCTCCAAATCACAAGGAGGGACAAGGAGTCCTGACTGTTTCCTACAACTAGCGGTGTTATCATTGGGCCGCCCGCCTCTCCTACAGCCATACCAGCGGATCGTTCCGTCGGAATTGATCCATTTTTTGACATCCCACTTGTTAGCCAAGGCCACATATTTTTCATGCGGAATTTCCTGCACATGAGTCTCAAACATAACGTCTGGACAGCTGACAACGACTTTCTCTGGATGTTTCAGTTTTATTCGCCAGAAAATATCAAGAAAGGCACCAAAAGGCAGTCTAGGAAAGAGAATGCAATAGATAAGGTCAAAAGCTTTCAGCTGTCAGAGACTAATATGGTCTAATGGCTCCATTTGGGGCAGGAAGAGAGTCACTCACCTTTCGCGGATCATTTAAGACAAAAATACGCCATAACAACACAAAACCATTTGGAGCCTATTATGTCAGTTTGAATTTAACATAACTTCATAGAGGCTCAGAAAGAGCTCCCGCTTCCGTAAGCATTTGCGAGAAGCTTCGAATTGATAACCATGGTGGAACTCATAACTTACGTTGAGAACAATGCCTAACTCTAAAAGAAGTAACAAGACATTTTCTACTTAAAACCCAACATGGATGATTCACCTTTTAAGTTTATACCGGATAAAACACGTTCCGAGAAATAACATTCAAATGGCTTCGCCCATTCTTACGCAGCTATATTCTGGGGTCTTTAGTAAGGAAAGCCACAGTGAACAAAAGAAGTCTGCGACATTTCTTGAAATCGAAACTGTTTCCCCTCCCTAAAACAAAGATTGGTGTGAAAGAGACAGGATTGGAGAAGAGAAAAATCTCATCACGATCTTCTCCCTTCTCCGCCTAAATCTACGCCTCGCTTTTATCGTAAAAAAAAACAAAAAAACAAACAAACAAACAAACAAACAATAATCGAGTCCTATTTGGATACATGTGAATATCAGTTGATATTCTCTCGTCAGATATAAATGTGCAGACTCACTTTTCATCAAATCCAAGTGCCTTGAGTTCTTTCGTCTTCGCCATAAATGGACCAGGAAGCACGTCACACACTAAACAATCAGTAAACGAGCGATAATAACCATCCAGAAAAAAAGCAACCCAGTTTCTGAAATTCACTTGAAAACAGCCTTTGTCCCATTCGCCACGTTGATTTTTGTGACTCCCTCCTGCAATGATTGTATCTTTGTTCTCGCTGAGCACCCGAATGAGTCGCTCAACATTTACATCATCAGTGAAGTATGTAATATCCGATGCAAATAGTACATAGGGCGTGGATACTGTTTTGAGTAACATCGACCATGTTTTTCCGTGAGTTAGGTCATCGAATACCACGTTGGTTATGTTTGACCCAAATTCTTTTAAGTTTAAATTTGTCTTCGACTTGGACACAAACATTACTGGTACGCTTGGATAATAGTTTACGATGCCTTTAAAAATGTTTTGTAAATTTTCGGTCGAGATATCTTCAGGTGATGTAACAATCATGGTCACAAGCTGGTCCAGTGGAACAAAGTCTGAACAATTTACTCGGTCGAAACCTTTCCTAAACCGGGGAAACACGTACTCCCAACTCGGTGCCATGAATTTCTCAGCGCAAACCTCTTTCTTTAGCAAATAATTTACGGAAGAACTGCCCGCTGAATTGTTTTTTTTCAGATCATCAGTTAAATTTCCATCAGTGGATATTATTAACTCCTTGACAAGTTGAATATGTTTTTCTAAACGGTAGAAATGTAATTGCGAGTGTTGTAGGCTGCGCTGTGTCTCGGAGAGTTCTTTAGCTAAGAGCCTTAAATTCTCGGTGACGTAGTGCTTCCTCCCAAAAGTTGGGTTCGTAAGCTTGTGGAAATGCCTTATAGAATCAATCCGAAGACTGGATGTGAGCCAAATTAACAAGCCAATGTATGGTATTACAACTATCACGGCTAAAACGAAACTCCGTTTGTTTGGATACATTGCAACAATTTTTGTACCATGAGTTGTTGAAATGATGTGGCATCCACACTTTTTATTTTCTAGAGAGTTGATGATCTTTTTCCGTAAACATCAGTTATGAGAGTCTGCAGGGATAAAAACAAAACAAAACAAAACAATAACATGACGATTTAATAAAAAAAAAATATATATATATTCAAAAGTTGAACGAGGCAGTACAGGTGGTTTCATTTCTTTAAACAGCGCAATTGAAAACTTTTCACCTGAAGAGCTGCAACAAATCACATGCACATCATGTATGACTATAGGGGCATGTCAAAGGCTAAACAATTTATTCATCACAAGAAACTCTGTGTCAGTGTGTAAACCGTATCTCCTCTCAAACGTGTGAAATTAATCATGCGAAACTTTGCATGTAAAACAATTTTGCCTCGCAACAATAGAAGCACTCGTAAAGAAAAGCCCATTTTGAGGTTGAATTTTTCGCTTCTCGGATCGAGCGTTCGGAAATGGAGTCTGCAGCCTTGGGCTTTTCTTACGTACGTAGAAAACCTCGAAATGGATAACTCGCTAAAATGGGTTTTTTCGTCAAAGTAAGCGGTCAGATAGCAAGCGAGGCATTGTGGAGGTAAAGGAAGGTATTTTTATTAAGAATTTGACTGTATTTTTTATTCCTAAGAGCGGTCGTAAATATTATTTCGCAAGATAATCATCTCACAGCTGGAGTCTGAGCCGCCGGTGGATAGCCTTTGAAAAAATTTACTCGTGCTGAATTATACCAAATTGCACTCGAAATAAGGTGACTACCTCTTCAAATTATCACCTTTGTCAGGAGATTCAATCAAGATACCAAAGAAGTCTCTCGAGTCTGTTTTTAGATTCGCACTACGGGATACCCATGTTCCGGACCACATTTAGTATCTGGGCAACCGAGCTCGATTCATGTTCACCTTACTCGAATAGCAATTCGAGTACCATTTCAAACCAACCTCGGTTCAACGAGCTCGAAATGCGGTCAATTCTATTCGAGCTCGATTCAACTATATCGTGCTCAATTAAAAGGACAAGCTCGGTTTACCTCGTATTCTATCGAGCACGGTTTTTTCTATCGGTTTCATATTGAGCTCGGTTTGGTATCGAGCTCGGTTTAATCTTCATTCAGCAAATGAGAGGTAATCTGGTACCAAGACTTGGGAGGGAGCATGGGACGAGCGAGAGTGGCCATGTTTCTGGCAAATTTGTCAAGTTTAGTTCGTGAATTCGGGACTTTTTAGGAGTATGTTTTCGGTCGAGTTCGAAAAAAAAGAAGAAGAGTGACAGAAGAAGAGCAAAGAATGATTTATACTGCTAAGGAGATGAAGGAAATGACACTAAGGTGAACATTGGCTCTTTGCGGGAGGGTGTTCCGAGTTGCTGGTTCATAGTTTCTAGTAACGTTTTGTTCAGTTTCAAACTTAAGCTCAATCCTGGAGTGTACGTTTCTCGGTTATTTTAAATCTCAGTAGTGTAATAAGAAAGTGTCTCCCTCCATTTTACCAACCCCAAGTTTACCCCACAAAAAAGTATACATAACAACATGCAACAATACACACATTCTAATTTTATTATATAAGCTCAATACACTTTCGTGTTTCTATTTTAATTGGTCTTTTGTAACGAGGAAAAGGAACAGAACTCTAATGAAATATGAAAATCTTTTGGAGAATATGACAAAAAAAGTCTGAAAAGTAATGTATGTTCATCCCTTGCAATCAAATATTAAGAAGAATAATATTAACTATACTGGACATATGCATCAGTCATCAGATACCATGGTTAATTGACGACATTTCACGAAATTAAGAAAGTGTGGCGGGCTACTGTAATTGTTAAAAGAAGCTAAATTTTTAAATATAAAATAAACATACAGTTCAAACTGTGTTTGTTTCACTCATTCTATTCAGATATTACATAACACAATCACACTGCGATATTATTGATACCAGTGAGAGAAATGTATTTGTGAATCCAGATTGATTAAATGTTAGCTAGATGAAGAAAGATTTGCCAATTTTTTGAAAAGTGAGTAATTTTCAGGAATTAGTTTGATAGTTGAGAGCAAAGAGGTTTCCACTATTAAAAGGTCTTAAAATGTTCAATCCAGTTATTAATGTGTTAATAGATCCACCAAAAAGCCATTAAACAACTGCAACAGTTCACTTTTAACAAAATAATCAATGCTTGTTGATCTAACCCTGGTTTTTAAACGGCTTGACCTAGCCCTCTTCATAGACTGCAAAAGCCATATCTTTAATTGGCAGTCATGACAAAAAAACACAAGGAAGACATTTTGGGCTGTACAATTAGACATTATAAAAATGCTAGTTCACTTTTTTCTAAACTGAATTGAACATTTTATGACCTGCTCATGAAATTAATACAAGTTGAGGAGGTGAATAATAAATTAACTAATATGAAGTCTGCCATTTTCGTCGTTCTCAATTCCAGGTGCCATCACAATCCTTCAAAAACATAATCAATGTGTTTACAAATCATAAAATTGTTCTGCTAATTATAATTGTAAATCTCTTGTCAGCATGTTTGATTTCAGGAACAAAAGCCAACTGTTACTAGCCTATGTACATAATCCATTTTTGATATTCTTGTTTTTCCTTGACAGACTTTTGATTGAAAGCTTTTCACTGTTGCACGCATTACATAAAGAGTTTAAATTTGTGTTAAATGCTGCAGCATTTATCTGTATCACACTTTTACACTCTGCGTACTCATAATCTTACCAAATTTCTCTTATGTTGAAGGGTCCTTTTTTGCCTTCTTTCTTTTGGCTGTTGTCCTCCTGTCCCTCCTTCTTTTCTGTGTACCTTGTTCTTTTTCTTTAATTTCTCTCTCTCCTTTCATTTCCTCATGTTCTTTTTCTACTACTCCAGCTGGTATTCCTCCTTTCCCTCCTTTATCTCCATTTTCCAATGTTTCTTCTTCATTACTTACTCCTTTTTCCTCTTCCTTTTCTTGTTATGACTGCATATTAAGAATATGGTTTTTGCAGTCTATAAAGAGGGTTAGGTCAGGCCGTTTAAAAACTAAGGTTAAATCAACAAGCATTGATTATTTTGTTAAAAGAGAACTGTTGTAGTTTTTTAATAGCTTTAAGAGTTGATTAGATTGGTGGATCTATCAATACATTAATAACCAAGATTTTCATATTTCATATGAGTTCTGTTCCTTTTCCTAGTTACAAACGACCAATTAAAATAGAAACACGAAAGTGTATTGAGCTTATATAATAAAAATAGAATGTTTGTATTGTTGCATGTTTTTATGTATACTTTTTTGTGGGGTAAACTTGGGGTTGGAAAAATGGAGGTAGACACTTTCCTATTACACTACTAAGATTTAAAATAACCGAGAAACGTACACTCCAGGATCGAGCTTAAGTTTGAAACTGAACAAAACGTTACTAAAAATCATGAACCGGCAAGTCGGAACACCCTCCCGTAAAGAGCCAATACTCACCTTAGTGTCATCTCCTTCATGTCCTTAGCAAGATAAATCATTCTTTGCTCTTCTTTTTTTTCGATTTCCGTTCCTTCGAAAGTTAAAAAGTGTTATTCCTCCATGACATATTCGTTATTAGGAGGCAACTAAAGAGATTCAGAAAGAATCGAAACTGCAGCCTTTCCCAAGAATCTACTCATCTAGCAGCAGTTACACTCACAGCCGATTATCACATCGCAAACAAAATTCATTAAAAGATATCTTGATAACAGCTAAGCTTTCAGGTCAGAAGATTGAGAAGCGCAAGCGAATGGCAGGAGTCGCACAAGCCAATCAACACCTTTTAACCATCGACTACCTTCTGATTTCCGGCTTATCCGTTGTGTCGCCGTGTGCATTGTGGACTGTTATTTATTGGCGAGTGACTTCTTTCGTTGCTCTTATTCATCTGTCCTTCATTCAGTGATCAAGAAAGTAGATTTACCATACAACACTCGCCATTAATAAATTTCCTTTTACCTTGGAAAGTAGATTTACAACACAATTGAGTATACGATAGTAACGCTATGTAACGCAACAATAGGCCTGTTCTCGGCCATAATCGGTCTCAAACATTATCACTTAAAATGCGAGAAACACATGTACCTTTTGAGAGCGTTTGGTCAGAGCTGTTGAAGAAGGATCAAAGTGGCCATCCAAATCTTTGAAAGGCTCCAAACTACGACGTACATCAAATTTGACCTTTTCGAAAACCGGTCTCAAATTGCTTACTGAAAAACAATGATTGCGTTTGTCCTTAAGAACTATAGAATGCGCGACAAATACGTACAAAAAATACTTTTACACATTCAGAACAAATCAAATTACATTTACTCATGGTGAAAGGAAAAAAGAACGGCCTAACGTTTACGGAATGTTCAGTCAAAATCTGCCGATTTTTGCTGCTCTCACCGCCATATTGAAAATATGCAAAACGCAATCGGAGTGCGCACACCACCCGGCTTTATATAATCCACTTAATTCCCCTAGCTCAGTCGTAGGGTACTAAAAAAAACCAGTCAAGTTGTAAATGAAGTAAATTTAGTGACGCGTAAAGAACCGCAAGTAAAGTATAAAGGCAAGTTATGTAAATTCTACTCTAAAAAAGTACTCGGTATTTCTGATTAATTTGAAGTTGATTATAGCTGATAAATACCTGATCTCCAGTGTTATTTATTTATTTATTCTATACTCCCTTGCCTTGAAAATAATTAGGGTTTAACGCATTTCTGCGAGGGTATTTATGCTTTTTCCCCCTATCCAGCTTGCTAAGTAACTAAAATACTGGGCTGCATCTCCCGGGCTCGTTTACTGGGCACATAAAAATCACACAAACACATTGATCTGGAGTAAAAATGGCTGAGGGCAAAGGCCCAAAGCCGGTTTAATCAGTAATCAAAACTGAATCAATTATTACCCAAAATATTTGAATCTGGGAAAAATAGCTTGCCCAGTAAAGGTGAGGGCTGAAAAACAACGCCAACAAAATCAACTATTAATTGAGCTAAAACAAAGACATGTGGCTGGAATAAGGGGAGGAGGTGGGGTACAAACAAACGTGTCACTTGCGAAGAAATCTGAAGTGAATGACTCTGTGAATTCTGTCACGAGTATTAGACTCCAAAAAAGGTTGGGGGTCAATACATTGCAATACTCGCACCCCTTAACCAGGCCTGTCACGCATCTTGCATTGTCATGTAACGCTCTCTACACGTGACTAACATATATCAGCAATTATCACAATAATAGAACATTAATAATCGGGGAAAAAAAGCATAAAAATCCTATTCGCGAGCAAATATTTTCTTTTTTAGAACTCAATTTATTCATTCGGTATTCTTAAAAACTGCGCTCTGCAAACAAGAGCGAACGACTCTCTTCAAAATGTAAACAACAAGCGGTGAATGCATTCAAAGAATGACATAGACTTATAAAAGTGTCATTTCACTTTTTTCACGTTTTTGTCCGCTTTCAGCTTTATTTTTTTGGTTAAAGACGTTAAACGAAACCTTGCGTTTTAGTTACGTGGACCCAGGGCCCGAAATAACAGCGTACACCGAAACCTCATTGGTGGGTTCACCACGATTTGCAAGACAACCCGTGAGACCAGAAATATCTAAAATCAAAACAAGAGGTGACATCGATTGATCAAAACTTGCAGAGGTAATAATTCCATGAAATAATTTGTAGAAACGCTTGCATAGTTTGATTGCTCTGAAGAAACGAATAACTATTTTGATTGAATGAATGGATAACTCTTTAAGCCGATCCTGATAGGCGAGAAAAATTCTTCAAGATCGACGAGTCGCTGCTCTTTGTTCTGGGTGTACTTAGAAAACTTCAAAAGAAAAAAAATCCAGTCTCGGTCTACAGTGATCGAAATTTCTCGTTCAAGATCTCTTTTTGAAACTCTCAAAACTCTCCGCTTTAAAAAATACGTATCCAAGTCGAAGAGGTTTCGCGAAAGACTGAAATCTATAAACTTCCAACACAATATGTGCAATAATTCTCTGCCGTTTCATTGACACATTTAGAACAAAAGGATACGTTTAAACCTTTGCGGCCCAGGACATCTTATAATTAAGCCATTGTTCCATACCTTTGAATTCGCTTCTGAGTCTTCTGCCACATACCCTCACCTTATTTTAACCGAGTGAAAACAAGCACTCTCGAAGGCAACTCCGAATGAATAAATTGAGCCTTCAGGGTACAAAATCTAGCGGTTGTGCCCATTTCTAAAATACACACTTAAATCGGAGTGAAGTTGTAATGTCGGCTGACTTTAATTGTGAGTTTTCGGATCAACATCAAAAATTCATCCATGAAATCCTCTCCAACTTCTTCGTGAAGTTCTTAAAATCCTCTGGCGTGCATGGAAGTTTTCGTATTCTTTCCTTGCTTGAAATAAATACGATCATGGTTGGTCCAAGTGAATTTCAATTCGAGCTTTTTCTTGAGTTCATTGACCGAATTATACAGCTTCTCAGGAGTCAATGATAACGTGATAGAGATCTTCTTACTGAGGTCCAAGACCGCATTTGCAACATTTCACGTGATTCCTGTATTTACTAAAAACATATGAAAAACACTGTCTGAAAAGGATAACGAAACAGCATGCTTTTCACGTGGCGAAATGAGAGTGGAAATGACGTAAAAATTACGTGAAATCTCCATTTTTCATGTAATATTACTCACATTGTTTTAAATTCTGAGAAAATGCCTCATTATGAGGATAAGAATACACCTGGCTTTATTCTAGTGGTTACGAAAGCATGTGTTTATCTATTGTAAAAAAAGATAACGACATTCACACGCTTTTCGCATGCCTTTCACATAGCAATTCTCAGAGCTGGTGAAATTTTCATGGGAAAGAGTGAAAACTTTGTGAAGACTGCGTGAAAATTATCACTCTTTTCACATAGGATTCACATGCTGTTTCACATTTTTGGTTCTGTTTGCGATATACTAAACAGCAACTACAAATTCCTTGCCGTCGCAAAACTGCTCGATCGGCAGCGTACATGTAAATGTGAATTCGTGACTGCTGAGGAGGTAAGCCGCGGACATTTCAAGTCTCCACGTGAAAAGACATAAAAATTTCAAGCATCCTGGTGTATTTACCAAGGTCTTAATATTACAGGGCAAGAAAAAAGGGTGGTCATCAGATCGCATAATACACAACATATTAAACAGGTAAAAAATACCTCGTGGCATTTATCAACAATGCAGGAACCAGGAAGACACTTCGGTCTACAGCGAGAATTGTAGCCTTGCTTGTACTTAAATGGCACCGTAAACATAACCTTCTTCGCCCGGCGCGATCAAAGTTTGAAAACGTTGCATTTTAAAACCGTACTAGTTTAACGGACTCGTGTCCGAAAGCTCGCGAAATCCTTACCTCATTCCGTGAGTTCGAAGAGCTTATAAACAACGCAACGACAAAATATAGAAACATTTCTACAAGCGAAAATTGTAGCCTGGATTGTACTTTACCACCACGGAAACATAACCATCATCGTCTAGAGTGATATGACTAAGAGGACATAGTAAATTTACGAATTCGTTTACTGACGCTCGCGCGAACGTGACAGCGATGCGTAAGCTCGAAGTATTTAAAAACAGTGTAAAAATAGAAACACTTCCTCGCACTACGATAGAAATTGTGGCCTTGCTTAGAGTAGTTCGAACACAGACGGATATGTGTTAGTATGTGAGTAACAGTAATGATAAACGAAAAATATCAATAAACAACCTACCTCTTCCTTTCTTTTGAAGGTATTTAAGGTAGAAGAATCATTCTGGCGGTTCACCACGGGTACTCAAGTTCCGTCTTGTGTTACTAAGCGCCACATTTTTTAAATTGATCTCCAACAGGAATTTCCAAAGGAAAGGTCGATGTCAGAGCTACCTTAATGGCATTTATGCTTCTTTCAGCGGACTGGCTCTAGGTTAGTCTGAAAGAAGGGATCCCGATCTCTCGAGGCGATAAAACCGAAAACTCCCTCTCGCTTTGGGCTTCATCACAACCACTCGTATTTTTAGAAATGAGCCCACGCTCATTTAAGCGGACAACCTATTTACATGGTTGACGTAAACAATAAATGCCAAACGGGGTAAGTTTCTAAAGAAACTGTGAAGCTGCGTAAGTGGGGGAGTTTTAAAATTACCCTTTATATTTTATAGCCTAACAACCCAACGTTTTGCTAATTTGGGGAAATCTGCGTACTCCAAAATATATTTATACCGAACTTACGCTTCCGTAATCCTGTTGTCATTGTAAAATTCTCCAAATAAACAGGCTACAGTTTCCTTCCTGATAAAAAGCCACACTCCATTTCGTATGCTCAACTTTAGTGCTTATGCCTACCTTCATTTTTAGCTTATTCATGCTGAAAGCAATGAATGAGGTATTGTGGTGAACCAGATGTTGACGGAAGTTGTCGACCGTGGACGGAAGTTGTATTCCGTGGACGGAAGTTGCATTGTGAACCGTTGGAACGGAAGTAGTCTAGCATGCTCCCTACTCAGTGAAAGTCAAAATTAATTTCGATGAAGCTCAGAAACTTAAATCACATTTCCGAACTTCTGAAAATTGAGAATCGAAAAGCCGAAATGTTCACACCTTGGGGACCCGTAGTGGGTTCATTTCAACACACGCTGTGACCACTCAGAAGAGCATCAGAGGCAGCCATACTGTTAAGCCTCGCATTTGCATTCGTCATCAGTTGGTATAGAGTAATCATAGCTCCATCATTGTGCTCGGGAGCTCTTCAATATACAGTCTACACATCAATCACAGGCGGCCAAGATAGTCTCAGTAAAATTTTTATTTCGAGCTCCAATATTTCGGTCCGGACTTGAGGCTCGCTCGAAAAAAAACAGCAATACCAATACGGTCGGTGCAAAATGCAAACTGCAGACTGCAGACCGGGTACGAAATGCAGACTGCGCACTGGGTACAAAATGCACACTGAGATTTCATACTGTTTTTTTCGTCTGATACGTGATAACATGCCAGCTTACAACGTACCGAGCGTCACGCAATCGTTTTTCCACGATCATCTTTCACGATTATTTGCACTGTTGTGCAATATTCCTTGCCCGTTTCTTGATCACAATCGTTCATAATATAACTTCAAACCTTCATATAGTCTTCTCACTTTGCGCGCGAGTTGGTTGGTGTGATGTCTGTAGAGAAGTTACCAACTTAATGGCATTTGGCATTTTGTTCATTTTGTTGACAAAAATGTGGACCGAGACCAAAATTTTTCCTTCGACTTAATATATTTTCAACATTCAGGGGTTTACACACCGAATTTCACTTATGTGCCTCATATTGTTTATAGCTTACAGTAGGAACCGGCGAATTTTTATAGGGAAAAGGGAAGCTTTACTTTCGTGAGTGGCCATTTGCTTACTTTTATGGTAGTTTTATCTCTCATCTGTTTGGTGACTACGCAAAGGCTGAAGGCTTGAAATTCTGTTAAGAACGATTGTGGCCGCTTTGTTAAAAACCAAATGCAATGGCCGCTTTGTTAAAAACAAAAGATATCAAGAAACGGGCGAGGAATATTTCACAATAGTGCAAATGACCGTGAAAGATGAGGGTTACTAATATTTTGCTGCCAGAGCAACATTTGATACCTGATTATGCCCACCCAGCCCATTCTCCGCCCCACAAACACACACACACACACACACACACCAACAAAAAGGACACTGTCTGCCTAATGACCTCTGCTCATCCCACCTCCAGCCCACACCACCTTTTTCCCAATGCTCATCACGACGAATATACAAGTTTCCTCATCACACACCTGCCTAAAAATAAAATGAAATTTATTCCGTAAGTCTTGAAAGTTGAATTCAGCTGTATCTAAATTCAACAAGTCCAAGAAATCAATACAAACTTACAGTGAGGACACTCGAACCATGAACACCTAGGGTGCTTTCCTCTGGGAGGATCCGGATTTGGATTTGTGATCCAAGATCACACAGATCACGGTGCATGAAAGGAACGAAGTTTTAAACGAGCTCTCAGAGAATTCCAAGAAGTTCGCTATTTTAAGACTTGTGTATGCACGTGGGTTATTGAGCTCTTCCCTGAATGGCTTGTCTAACTGCACGGGCTTTTAAGCGCACAATTTTTCTAATTAGAGCATTCATTAGAAGCACATTTTTTCATGGTAAACTCAAACGATGGAATTAAAACAGAAGCAAGTACTAATTACGATATGGATACTTGGGAACCCTAAATGCCTTCGATCAGTGGCCAATCAATTTCACTTTACAGAATCGATTTTACTTCGTGTTTATCTCAGAATTTAGCTATTGCCAATAATCTTTCCGGTCAATATATGAAGTACCTACTTGTTTGAAATTGAGCACCGCACCAGTACCCATATTTCCAGCTAGAGGAGGTGAGGCACTTTCAAGCTTACAGTATCTTGCCCAAGAACACGATGCAATGCTCCAACGTTAGAGACCAAAACTGGACTGCTTAATGTCGAGTCCAGTGCACAACCATCCAGTCACCATGCCTCCTCCTCTGATCCTTATAACGGGAGTGGAGTGAATGGGGTCAATCAGGAAGGGTGGAATGTAGGATTTAAATTAATTATAGACACGTCTATAATTATTTTTAGGTTTTAGGCCGCTTGTCGACCAATTTAATGACACTTTTGCTAATACAAATTCATTATTTTTCTAGTAATTTTGTGTTAACAACTGAGTTGAAAACGTAAATTAGCCACTATAAAGGGTAAAAAAGCTGACGTTTCCCTTCGTTCGCTCTGACGAAGGGCTAACGCTCGAAACGTCAGCTTTTTTACCCTTTACGGTGGCTTATTTACGTTTTCAACTCAGTTGTTAACATTAAATTACCTGCTATACTCTCCCACCGACGCAGCACCACATTTTCTTTAGAAACTTACCGCTTTATTCCTTATTCTTCTGTCACCCAAAGGGATTTGAGAGACAAAAAAGAGAGGATGAAGAAGTTATTTATCGGCTTGAGGTAGTGACCGACGTCTTTGCATAAAAATACTACCTAGCCGGAAAAACGAAGATATGGTTATGAAAAATGACAACGTAGGTAGGAATGTACTCGGCGACTCACGAAAGCGTTATATACCGTTGCCCGTGGGCAGAGATAGGAGAATACGGACCGCGCAAAGAACCAATCAGATTGCAGGATTCGTTACCGTGCCCTCTGAGAAAAAAAAAAGAAAAAACTGCAATAAGGATGAATCTTAGGTGAGCTGGTGGTGGTAATACAGTTTGGTAAGCCTATTCATACACCAATTTCAATTAATGTTGCTTTGTCGTTTGTGAAACATAGTCCTTTGTGCATCGTGGGTAGCTTGATCTCGCTTCTGTTTCAAAGGTAATCAAATTAAACGAATTATTGCAAGTAACATTCAGAGAAAATTACTTAAAACAAATTTGGATATTATTGCCGGGTTTTCCAAATGTGGATAAATGAGCTACCCATGATGCACTAAGGACTAGGTTTCACATAGGGCAAATAGCAATCCAAAGCAACATTAATTCAAATATTTGTGTCAAGTTTGGTTGTTATAAAATGTGTTCTTTTTGGAGATATTGAATTTTTTTATGTTTGATGACATTATGAACTAAAACTGGAGTGAGCAAGCAAGTGACACAATTGCATATCAAACCCCACAACAAGGAACATTTAAAGGGGGGAGGAGAGTTTAAAGACTATTCAAAATTTATTCCCTCTAGCAAAAGAAGAAGTAACAAAAGGGAACACTGAAAAAGTTGGCATTTTTGGGAGTTCAAAAATGCCTCAAAATACAAGATTATCGATTCACTGTGCGCACAGCTACCGGGATAGATTGGGTTTGCACAGCCTGTCAGTTTTTTTTTTCAGGTGGCTAAGAGTTCCAGAATATCTATGACTGATGAGTTGTCAGCCGAAATTCTTGAGTCGTTAGGATTCAACCCTTGTTCGACCCATTGCCGTTTTTAAATGTAATACTTATCGGAGCTCAATTTTAACACTTAAAGATAACTATACTCAGTTTACTGTATTATCAATCGCTACAACTGACTATAAGCATTCTCAGTGAAAAGGTTAATGAGCTTGTGTCTTCTTTACTGGTAAACTTTGACGGTAGATGACTTTTCTGTTTAAAACACCTTTAAGTAATCTCTAATTTTTGTTTTAAAATAGGAATTACCTGGTGATGATTCCATTCAAAACGAATCATCCATCATGGAGCCCCAGCCAATGAAGTGTCAGAAACCTTAAGTCTCGAGTTTGAAATTGTGAAGGATTCTATTAGGAGGGGTCGACCAAAGCTGATAGACAACTGTGGATATTCATATTTTAGGTTTTAATATAATAATAATAATAATCAATTGCAAAGTAAGAGTTGAGATGGCAACTGTAATCAAAGTTAGGTAATAAGCTTTTCAAGAACTATGTGTAGTGGCCTTGTTTCCGGTACCCAATAGATTCAATTCGTTTACATAACTATGAGTAGAAATCTTTTTAGCGAGCATATAGACTCCGAAATGTATAGTTCAATTATAAAGGAAGTAATGTAAAATATATAGTTCAATTATAAAGGAAGTACTGTAAAATTTATAATTTTGACTCGTCTTTACTGGTTTTGTGCTTTCTCTCTATTGTACCATTGTGAGCGATGCGCGGGCTCGATGATAACCACGATAGTATTTTCCTATGGCCAAGCAGCATTCGTTGTTTGTACAATCGTCCTCTAGCAGTTTAGCGTTTGTAGCTAACTCTGTCAAATCGCAATAGGACCCCTCTCGGGCACTTGTTTGGCTAGGTTTAAACTGGGATTTAATTACTAGTTATATTTCTATTACTGATAGAAGCATGCGCATTGCCAATTTCATTGCTCTCATAGACAAATTTCTCCTATCCGCTCCCTATGTTACGGCTCGGGATCGTGCCGCTATCGCAGGTATTCCATGTCTATGTCGCCAGTTTTGGATAACTTGACTCATCTCAAAACTCGCTTTCTCTA